CCAGGAGTTGCATAGGGAAGTGTATAGGTGACAAGAGTAGAGGAGGCCTGCCATATCGTGTCTACAAATAGCTGGTTTACTTACCTACCGCGCTCGTGAGAAGAAAGAGGACAAAAGGGTACATTCCTTTATCCTACATATCTAGAATATCTGCTTTCCACCGAAAACCATGAATCCCCACTCCCGAACTCAAACCAACTTTTAAGCCAAGAGCTGTGATTACACATACAGCCCACAAGCCACCCCAAACCTTAAACCGACATCACCGCATGCCCACTATCCAAGGCAAATGGCAGGGGAAAATCAAGATTTACATCGGGGAGCCGAATGTACTATGGACGTCCGTCATTTCATAGCATCTTGGGCGCCAGCAGTGAATCTAGGAAGCACTCTCATTCGCTATAGAGGTCGGAAACCCCAACCAGCCGTGATAGCCTTCGGGGGTGTGCTTACCGGAATCCGGATTCTGACTTAACTGAACGCAGAGTGCCTAAAGTCCAACGTATGGAAGCCCCGTGACCGAGATAAGTTCAGCACGAGCCGAGCTACCACTTTTGCGGTATCACTCAAGGGTGCTCTAAAGTATTCATCCCGGGGCGAGATATAATGTACCAAATGTGGAGAAAGTGAGGCCACCCCATACGGAGTAGCGAAAGGTGCATTCCGACCTAAACGTCATCCACCATCTATAGTGCCTGTGCCCTATAACAGACCTCTTACAGTTATAGCAGCGAACGTCCATTCACGTTCAGACACTGCGAAAGACCCAAAGATACATCTGAGCCGCATGATCACCTGCATCAACCACAATACGACCCTTTCGAGCCAGCCAGGAAATTGCGATGTTAAGTGAATTAGTCGAGGCTAGGGGTTACATATAGTGGGTCCGCGAGTCCGATACGTCCATCACTAGATTTTTGGTGTATCGTTCGCCGTCCTCCCCTTTTGGTTGTCCGTCTTACTGTGTTGCTCCTGTATGATACACAAGTCCCTTGTTAAAGGCTCCCTTCAGATCCGCAGACCTTGTGTGGATCTGTCATTTCGTGGCGTTTTATGGCGTTGGCGTGGGGCCGGGTGCCTCTTCGGCCCCACTGTAACTTCTATCCTGGCTACTGCAAGGCCAGACCTCGTATCGGTGGGGTTATATGTACTCACCCTGATTGAAGCATAAAGGCGTAGCACGCCGGTTTGTGCTATTGCGGTGGCAAAGATGCTTACCGAAGTGGTTTTGCGGTTTTTACTTTTGGGAGAGTATGTTCAGGGGCAAGTGTTATTCCCGGTAACTCCAATGTGTCACACTTACAGTATGATATTGGGAATGATAAAAATAAGAGATTCGGGCACGATACTGATATCTTATGATAGGGGGTAAGAACTAGGTATTTTGTATAATAGGGTCCAGGAAATATACTGTAAGCTAACCCGGGGTCTAGGGGTGACTCTCGCAGAGTCCCTCGTGCTATGATATCCTGCGAGTGCCTCTTGGGTATGATACAGGCAATCATTCGGCCAAATGAATTGTTTACTCTTCCGAGCTTGAACTCGGCGAGGTACCGTACTAGCTCCCATTCTCATTTTGCACACCTCGACATCCTCACGGCCTCTCTCGTTACCTTGTGTGGCGGTCTTTACTCGTACTACCAGTTACACAAGTATGAGTGATTCTTCGATCCATCCCAATAGCAACCATGGCGCTAGCCCTCCCCACTATTTCCATTCGTGAATTCAGACGAAACCCTAGAGCAATCCGAACGGGGTAAGAAACCTCATGATACCAAAAAACAACTCCACAACCTTGGCTGCAGGAACAATACCCACTAGTCGAAAGGGACGGAACAATCCATCTTTTGGGCTTCTACCGCAGGGAAGGCACCGGCTCCACCCCATTTCGGGCACCTAAAGAAACCCCCGCCAAAAGGATAAATCACAAAATCAATCCTTCGTTATTCCTAGTTTGTCGAGTTCCGCTCCAAGGTTCATACCCTCGAGTGACAACCCATGAAATGGCATCCATGATATCGAGAATTCAATAGGTAGAATATCTGCCCCTCTCCAAAAATCACTACGAAGTGCTTTCCACTATCATATCCTAACAAAAATTATTTAGGCCATATGTTCCTCCATAAGGCGTTTAACCATTGGGTAACCCCAGCACGACTGAGCACACGCATAGCGCCAGAAACATGGATTGCTACCCTATCGTGGGGGGGTATAGTCCGCCATCCTTACCCCCTTCAAGTCCCATATCGGGGAATCTCAGACTCTTCTACATTTAGTGTGCGCATTCCTAGTACTGACAGACCCCAGAATTCTCTTCCCCAACCCCAGGCTCTGTAGCCTCGGCCTCTTCCCCCCCGAGCTAGTCGTGCTCCCTGTCGAGTTTCGTAATCTGATGGACGAGCTATCGTATCCTACCGGCTTTTGAGTAGGTAGGTAGAGAGACTAGTCTTGTCCGATGATGAGCGAAGAGAATCTCAGCGCGGGGAGGATTTCCAGAAGGCCAAGAGAATTGTTTGGAGTTTTCTCTGCTGAGGGATTCTGACATTTTGAAATCGAGGAGGGCTTTTGAGGGTAACTTTCGCAGACCCCTTCTCATCGAGATGGGTTTACAACAGGGTGGGGGATCCAGAGATTCCTGTAGGCTAAGAGCTGACCTCTCTTGCACTTCTTTATTTTTACATACAGATTCCTCACGCACTTTAGTGATTACCACTGGGACTGCTTCCATACAATGCTGCTCAACCGCACCCCGTTGGTCTCCGCGACGCTCTAGTTTCCCAGGCCCCCTCCCACCGGACGGTAGCTTTCACAGGTGCTACGGAGATTTTTTCTGAGACATTGTATGGCCAGTACCCGTGATGGCCCTACCTACATGTAGCAGAATTCTGCCCCAATCCCTGCGCTCTCTCCCGTACCGAGAAAAAGGAACTGATTTTGAAAGTATCATAGACCGTAATTTCTCCTTCTAACTGGCGATCAACATTTCTTTCGCCACCAACAAAGGGCTTTGTTGTCCGACAATTCAAAAGAGTTTGAATGGCTCTCATGTCCAAAGACCGCAGCAGCAGACGCAGTTTGAGTATCAGCCATTCCGCTACTGCCGGGGGATAACCGCTCATCATTATATTTCATTCAGGGCTTTCCCCACTTCGGCCAGCGGACGCTCCGATGGCATTTGTGATATCGTATAGGGTCCCGGGAATTCACCCCCCTGACGCTCAAGGTTTAGGAAAAGGATGTCAGGCCGTTTCTTTCCCGCCCTGGGGTGAGAAAATGCTCGGTATGATACCTTGTAAGGAGCCATGTTCTTTGAATTTGGTGTAACCGGCTATCATGGGAATGGATAAATAGCCACGTCAAACTCGATAGCCCAAGATCAGTAATCTCATTACCACTCAATCAATCCCTCCCGAGTTCCTGCGATTGGGCCCGAGTTCCTCAAACAGCTAGCCATACACAGCCAATTCCAAAGCTAGCCGGATACCGTGCGCTATCTGTCAACAGAAAGGTGCGGGAGCATATTATGATAACCATTCCCCTGATTAGAAGAGCTACCACCATCACCTGCTTAAAAGCAGTTGCGGATGATGGAAGTAGCGTAAGAAGCGTACCGTACGGCACAGAACTCCTAATAGCCGAATAAGAGTTTCCCCACAACACCCCCTATGGTGGGGGTGCCAAAAAAATAACATCGAATCCCCTGCTTCGGTAGTAAACTGGTCCATAATTGATCACTGGCTAAGCTGGTGCATTGGCCCCACCGACTTGTCTCAGAGACCCCACTCAGAGATAGCCGCATCGGTTGGTGCAAGCCTCCCGTCTCTGGAAACGGCAATAGACACTGCCCAGTGCCCCCTCTAACCTGCGCTTTCGGGAGTGGACACTCATGACCTGACCGATCTCGCCAGTTTGGGTCTCTAGTGGCTTTAGCTCCTCAATCTGGAATGACAACTCTAGACCCCAAATCGAGACCCAGCTCCGAAAAAAAAGAAGGCACTGTCAGGCCCGAATTCCCTCACTTCGATAGTATGGTACCGGCATACTGCGCCGTACAGTACTGTAAGAGCACCTCACAACCATTGGAATAAAACATCTCGACGACCTAATCCCCAGTTAGTACAGTACCGTAACGAGTAAAATGAGTAAAAAGAAAAGTAAGGGGAGAAATCACTGATCGACCGACCTCTCCCTTCTCTACAATAAGTCATGCTCTCACCCCCATTCCTAGCCAGACACCGGCCAACGATGCAGTGCCCGTAGGATACGATCCTTCCACAATACCATACCATATTTCTGCCCGGCGTCATACGGTATATGCCGCACCGTACAATACGCGTACGGTACAGCACACCTACTGTACTCCCCGCTAAGTTATCCATCCGACTCCCCTCGCCAACCCTTTACGAGTATATCCCCCACACAACAAATCGCCAAAAAGTCCTGATTTACGAGACTATGTGCAAATATGTAACCCGAGTGCCGGTATGATATGTGATCACCTTCCCCACCTCGGACCCACTCGGTAACTTACCCCACAACCCGGTTCCCGAATACCTTCGCCCAGACATCCCTTCCCTACTTGTACACATCTTTTCCCCTTTCTACGACCTCATCTCTGATCACCACATGTACGGTACCGTTACCAAGGACGTCGGCCAGTGCTGCAATTTATCTACGGTATCCTGCCGGGTCTTGTGTCATTGCTGGTGGGCAGATCGTGAGGTGCCGCATCACTATCGTGCCGGGGTGGGGCTTTTTTTTTTTTTCTGGGTTCCTTGCGTCACCTTTAATATAACCTCAATCACTAAATTTGCTATCTTCCCCATTGCGGGCCCGCCGGATGCTTCTATGCGGACTTTCGATCTACCCGACATAAGGTTTGTCCTGTCCGAGAGATTGAAAAGGTATGCTTCGTGTCCCCGAGAGTTTTGTAAGTACAACTCCGACTCTAGACAGAGGGTATAGTGAGAATCTGTGAGAACTTGGACGTGGGGATAGTCATAAAAATTTAATCGTCGATTATTCTTTTATATACTCATCATGAAATTACAACATTAGTTACATATACAGCGCAACGGAACCTCTGCGCCCTCGCTTCAAAACGCGCCTGGGGACGCCCCTAGGTTCTCTATCAGATTCCACCCCGAGGCTCCCAGCGCACTCACGAGCCTCATCAAATCCCCTGCCAGACTCCCCCCTGCATCCGCGTCTTTGATTATATCCCTGCAGAGGGCCATGACCTCCTTTGGCTTCTCGAGGGATATAAATCCGCCCGCAATAGTGAGCACGGGTATTCCCTGTTTACCCTGGAGGAAGTTTGCCATCGCATCGCTCCATGGTTGGTCTACGTGAACGAGCACATCGAGTAGCTGGGCGGGAGCGGGAGCGGGAGTCGAGGATCCAGAGTTCTGACGATGAATGCGCATCACGGCCTGTAGGATACCGTATGTCCATAGAACTAGACCAGTATGGAAAAGGACCAAGGGGAGATAATTTACTACTGTGGGAAAGGTCAGGGAACGCTGCCAACACCCGTGAAAATTTCCGGGAGCATACCTCTTTTCTCGGCAATACACTTTCTGGCAAGCGTAAAAATTTGCCCGCAATGCCAAACAGCAAGTCGAGCATCCTCCTGGTCCGCCCACCGTTGGAGCATCGGTAATGCTGTCTTGGCCGAACTCGCATCCTCCCGCCCGGCCAGCCTCAGGATACCCTGTAATGAACAGAAAAGCGCGAGCGCATTATAATGAACAAATATAGCGCTGATATTGTTATCTCTATGCTCGGATATAGGTCCGAGTTCAGCGTGCAAGACCCCATCGCAATTTTGAAGGATTCTCTGCAGCTCTAACTTTCTCGCTTCAACACTAGGGAATATGGCCTTCACTGTGGCTCTCGGAGAGGTTAGAACGGGGGAGACATCGCTTTCCCGAAACTCGTATAAATCTTGCATTTGGCGTTGCTCAAATACGAGTGAGTGCACGACGGCCAGAAGGGCTCCTTTAAGAAGCTGGGAGGAGGAAATCCAGTTGTGGGAGAGGACACCTCGACTACAGTCGTGCATAAAGCGACCGGCAAATGTGCAGAAGGATTGATCGAACCTGAGGTTGAGGCTTGCGGAGTTGTATCTGAGCTCCTGGTTTGCCAGAGAAAACCAAGCCTCTGCAGTCGGGGCATTCCAGAGAGTGTCGGATTGGGGCAGTGGGAGGCTCAGCTCTGAGAATGCAATAAAGTGAGGTATGTGCAGGAGAGCGCTAATCTGGGAATCCCATATTTGGGTACAGTATACGAGCCTAAATAGGATACCGTTAGGTCCTTCCATGGTGGCATTTTTCAGACATGATATCTACCTTTTTCGTTGCTCGTTTATACTCCATTTCGTCCAGGTACTTGTTACCGAACCCGTCCGCTCGTTCAGGATATCCTCCAAGGATCGGTAAGCGCAAAATCGAAACGCTTCGGCTCGCCTGATCATAGCCATTAAAGTCCCCGCAAAGGCCTCAGCCAACTCCATCTTTCGCTTTGCCCCGGCCCAACTCTGGCCTATGTAAGTTATAAGGGAAGCTTGATGCCCCTCATAGTCCCGGATCCTACTATTGTCGGATTCATACTAATGGTTATATATATATATCAGCAAATTTTAATTCAGCCAATAAGAACGGCTCCCCTCACCCACTGCCCTAATGAGCGTCTAACACATTCTAAAATCGCGTAGCCAATCGCTTTGACGGACCGGGCTTCCTCTGCCGACACCCTCCGTTTCTCTTCATCCCCAGTCAACCCGCTACTCCAGATCGCTCCTACTGCCACCATAACCGCGGTAAGTAGGATAAGCGCTGTATTGGGGTTGAAGGTCCCCCGGTGCAGCAACGGATACTGAGGGTGGAAATACTTGAAGTAGCATTCAAGTGCGTCTTCCAGGAACTCTTTGTCAGGTAATGATGCTAGGTCTTGGTCCCCCCATTGCTCACGTGAGTGAGCTTTAGTGAACATAATCACAATTTTATCCCGAGTTTCACTGGTGATTGCTAATGAGGGCAATTCAAGCATCGCATCCCCCGCCGAACGTCGGCTCCGAATAGGAAGCCGTATGTGTGTTCTGGGGAGCTGGGAATTTGGCTGTGCCCGTACGTAGATCATATCGGCATTGGTATCGCTGGATGTGGGGTTACGCCAGACAATTGAAGATGCCTCGAATGCCGCCGAATGGGCATCCAAGGTTTCTTCCGTACTTGATGGCTGGCACGTATCATGCACCGGAGGCGCCGGGGGGCGAGGGTGCTCCGGGATTTTGCCTTCACCGAGAAAACTCTCACCTAGAACTTGTTTTGGTGGGGCTTGTTGGGATTCTTTTGGCTCCATTTGCTCGGAATTCAGGTCAAGGCCTGGCTGTACCGAATCTGGGCAGTGCGCGCTCGTCTCAAAATGGGAGGCCGCATTGAACACCATAGGAGAGAAGTTACTATCCCCAAACGAATCCATTTGGAGTGGGTGACTCTCCCGGTCAAATATGTTGAGCAGGAAAACGTCCAAGTCTGCTGCGCTCATCCCATGGTAGAAGTTGTGCACAGGGGGGGATTCATCAGGTGTAAACATATTGCCTGTCCCCCCTAGAGCTGGGTCTACGTTCGAGGTAGGGAAAAAGGTGCTGGGTTCCGCACTAGTATCCGCCATCTGTGGTGGGCTCAGAGAGGCATCTGGCTGCAGAGGATTTTGAGGCTCCAAGCCCCCCTCACCCTCAGTCATTTCTTCATCAGCTCCAACGCCCCTCTTAATACCCTGATTGTAGCTTTTATGAACCCTGGACCCCCTGCTCGTATTCCCAACCGAAAATTTGCACTCAATTCCCTTTCGCAAACACCGATCACACGTCTGTTTCCCGGAACACTTTTGTTTTGACGCGGCACAATTCTTGCAGGCCGCAAGGGATCGGGGGGGGATCGGACGCCGTGAGGCCAAGGTATCGGGCCGAGATGGGTCCAGGTGGTTTCTCTCATGCCGAGTCAGGAGATCTCGACGGGAGAATGATTTCATGCAGGTTTGGCACTTGAAGGGCCGTTTATTAAGATCTAGACGATGAGGTCAATCAAGCGACGCCCGTCGATCCAAGGAGAAACATACGTGACATTGTGTGCCGCTCCAAGTGCTCCTGACGCGTGAACGTATCCTGGCATATTTCGCAGACATATCCTCCCATCCCGTCTAATCGTCCAACACAGCCGCTACGAGGGGACCGATCAACTTTTCGTGGGGGCAGCTCGGCGGTTTTCGTTTTTTGGAAGGGGACCAAGGCTCTGACAGCTACGGTACCGTGGAATGTTAGCCCAACAAAGGACGGGAGAAAAAATGAGACTTTAAGAAAATAGGGATTGAACCTTGACAATCTAACCGATCTTCGGTCTGTCGGCACCCTTAATAAGGATTGTTATTTATTTAGGCTTTCTCCTCTTCCCCCACTTTGCGGGCGCGCAAGACTCGAGAAGGCCCATGCAAACCAGCGTAGCGGGCTGAACAGCGATGCGGTAGTGTGGAGAACCTTGCACTCGTACAGCCCACCGCCAGGATTCACCTTGCACCTGCCGGTCGTCGAGTACGAGTGTGCGCGCTGAACCTGTCCTGGGCAAGAGGTATTCGAGTATCCGAAAACAGGGATTAAAGAAATACACGCGATTCGCAAGAAAAATAAAAAAATTGCTGCCCACTCGCAGAGTGCTTGCACGAGTACCGTATCTGACGGCTGTTACAGAATACCGGTATGCCCCCCCCTATTTCCGGCTACTTCTTGAGTGGGACAAGTATGATAGCGGAACTCCAGCTTCTACAAGCAGCAAAGTTGGTCCCGGGGCCCAGACGGGAGTTCGCCCCACGGCATTATATAATATCGTGCCGGTATCGTTCCTCCTCGACGAGAAAATCAAAACGGCTCCTGGCCCCGGGTGCTTGCACCGCGATACCTAGTATGGGTTTACCGGAATTACTGTTATTGCTCTCAACGCTGGGAAGGCTTGTAGTGTACGTACAGTACGGTAATACCGGTTGCCTGTGTAAGATAGAAAAAAAAAAAAATCTTTAACAAGGATTACCGTATCTTGGGGATCGCTTCGTGTTTTACATGTGATATGGTGGTAAATAAGGTGCCTTCGGGAAAAAAAAAAAAGAATGACCGAGCGTCTCGCCCCAGAACTGTGCGAGAGGAACACCGCAAGAACGAGGAAAAGGTGAGAAAATTATTTATCATACCAGCATGATACTGATACTGGCAAGTGATGATGCTTTTGGTGATGAATAGCAACAACTCGGGTCACATATTCCAACTCAGGAGGTGGCCGAGAATACTCCTACCGGACCCAGCCGTTCCGTATCAATCGTTAGCCACAGTACGTTTCCACGGCAAAAGTACCGTGACGGACTTGTTAAGCTCGAGGACCTTACCATGGTAAATCTCTCGGGTTATCCCTTCAGGCACCGCACTGTACAGGTACTCGTCTACCCCCAACATGGCCAGGACATTTGGGCTAGCACTAGAGGACTTTTACCCAATGAGCGCTATGATGAGGATTGTGCCTCCATCGGATTCTCTGCAAACCGACGGAGGGAAAAATAGATATATTTCCAAAATTATGGGGGCATGAGTCTCGATATCACACTCCGGGCTACTCGTACCGGTACCGCACATTGCAAGACCTGCAAAAAGTAACCCGGGGGGAGCGTTTTTTTTTTTCCTACCGTACCCCCTTTCCTCGGGAAAACAGTCAAGTTACCCGGGTGTGAAACTCTTGGAGAGAGGGCCTACAGTTGTGTCTGGCTGTCCGCGGGTTCAGAAAATGCTAAAACCGCAAAACACAAGTTGTATGATATCATACCCGGCAACTGTACTAGCTGATTTTTAAAGTATCCAGACGCCTTGGCACCCAGTGGCCCTGTCTTGGCGCCAAGGTGTCCGGATACTTTTTAAATCGGCTAGTAGTTATCCCAAGTTAACATAAACCACACAAATAAGAGCCAAGGCACCATGCCTGGTCTACGTACACTAAGTGAGGCCAAGAAATGTATACTGTCCATTCCCTGCATATCGGGTATCATGACAAAGAATTTGCAAAAATGTTACTTAAAAAGATTATTATTATTATTATTATTATTATTAATATTATCATTACAGAGAAAATGAACTTTTTTGGGCCTGAATACCTATTTTTATTATTTTTAGTACCCACTGCTAAAGGAAATGGTGGCATTGTTGTAAGGTCTTGGTACTCCTTGAGTGGTTTTTCATTATGTGATTTTGTAAAAAATAGGTTCCCCCTATTTTTCAGAAACCTTCATTTTGATCTCATTATTGCAACTTGAGAATTGTGTCTTGGTGTCAACCAGACACACCACTCTAGAGCAAAATAGAGTTTTGCTGCAAACCTCTGTAGTCGTGCTCAAAATCAAGGTTTGCCGTGGCAACCAGACGCACCCATACCGTAATTAGTTGCAACCCCCAGGCCACTGCTCACACTAGGTTGGCGCTGTGAATTGAACTCGGCTTCTCTAAATTCTCATGCCGAAGTATCCCGTCGATTAGTTTGGGGCACGTTCGGGACCGCCGGATCTATATGGGCCCGGCAACGTTCAAGACATGTTTGCTATTACTGTAAGTTACCGGTAGTCCCTCTAGAAAATATCTATTAATGGGTCTTTCGAGGGGGTATTCACTGAGCGCAAAGGCACCTCCCTGAAAGAATCAATATGCAATCGCTAAGCCAATGAATGTCTACCTGTTCCTGGTACAGAGATCCTTCATTACACTGCACTGTACTACCGGTGGCACAGTAGCCACAGATACACTGACTCATTACAGCGCTGTATGGCACTGTCTCGGTGCCGGTATTGACCATCGTAATTGTTATCCCAGGTCCATCCAATCGACCGACTGCGCTGGCCCCCGTCTCAGACATGCTGCGATGGCAAGGGGTCCATCCGTAGTAGACGCCATCGACGGCACTGGGCCGCCTACTCTAGTACGGTACTCGAGTAGTCTAATTATATCTTTCCTCATCGTGCTTCCCTGGCTGTATTTAACTTATCAATGCAGTTGTGATACCAACCCACTCGGATACAGCTATCAGCAACCAGCCAACGACACGACGCAGCAAAGACACTACCGGTCACGAATATGGCCCATGGAAGTGCAGTGGGGCAAGCCACCCGACCCCGCCTGTCCCATAGTACCGGTAAATCCAGACGGAGATAACGGATTCCAAGTGTTGATACGGTACCGGTACTTCTTGCGCATCCCCCAAGCAAGCTGAGAGGCGGGCGAGAATATTACGAAGAGGAAAAAAAAAAAGTCTCCACTAAAAGGACTCATAAGCACTCACCAACCACAGTGCAAGTACAATCCTAGATTAACGCAGCTTCCCGCTTGCGGCTCATCCCCTTCAAAAATGAAACCGGTAAACAAATTGGTCGTGACAACATGCTGTTACCTTCACTCCCATTGTCTGGCCAGGGTGAAGCAGGACTGACATCTATCACCCGCCTATTATTCGCACAATGCACGCTTCAGTAGCAAGTCCTCACAACATACCTAATGGATGGCCCTTTCAGCAAACGAGCCACACATCGCATGTTCCTTCTTTATGTCACGGTTCGGATCAGCTTCTGTTACAAGTACTGTACGAGTACCGTACATTGCCCCTGCAGTGGTTTCACCAGAGACAACTCCTCGCTGCAGGGGACGACGACTTGGCAACCTCGGAAACCTCGGAAACACTACCGTATCCTTACATGCCGGATGCGGAGGAACAGGCGGGGGTTGGTAGGAGCCCAAAAGGCCCCAGGTTGAAGCCGGACACCTACGGTAGCTGGAAACCTTCAATGGGACTGCCTGAGTAGGCACGCAGTTGAGTTCTCCACTATGACTTGTTGCAGCGCTATTGTGTGCCTCACCCGGTCCACCGACCAGTTCTTGTCATCCGTGGTCGACTACCGTCCACCCCTCCAAAGACGAAACCATTCTCACCTTTTGTCGTTCTCGCCTCTTCATGGACGGGCTGGACAACTAGGAGCACTGGAACTTATTCCCTCAATTAGCTAGAATTCTGAGCACATGGTCGGGGAGGCGTCGTGGGAAGCAAACGGCCTTTTCTTCCTTTTCCTGTGCTCGAGTAGCACGGTAAATTTTTAAGTTACAGCTGACACTGCATCACTCTTGTCAACCCTCTTGGACCTGCTGGTTTCATTCCCAAGGACGGTTCACTGCGTCCCAGAGGGTATCGGATTGCCACACTCGGTCTGTGCTACAGGTACTGATACCGGCACTGGACTCGTCCCTTTGTCTACGAGTACCGTACTCGTGGGCCGGCAGAACTACGGTCGAGGCCACCTTCGCCCAGGGGGATAATGACTCCGCCTATTCAAGTAAGTTCTCCGCGGATCCTCGGGTCAGTAACGTTTATTGGCCCGGTCACCATCGGAAGACTTTAGCCATACCGCTTCAAGCCAATTAGAGTATTCCTCTGACTTTTGACATAGATATCCGTGAAATTCGGTATATGAGCGAAAGGATTTGTGTGATGCATCCGGGGATAGTTTATGTCGGGAGTGGTTTTTCCACGGGTGTCGTACCCGAGGGCTCTTTGGGTACGGTACTGTACGAGTACGGTATCTTGGCTTAAGCACACCGAGCACCATCTTATTGGAATGCCGTTGATCTCTTCCACACTGGCAGCCCCCATTGGGGAATTTGGGGCTGGCACCGGCAGCTAACACCGCAAGCCGGTCTATGGAGCTACTCGAGTACCGTACGGTATTGGACAGTGGCGAACGCCGTCGCTGTCGTGAAATTACCGGCGAACTCCCCAGAAAAAAAGCACTCTGCGCTTGCGAGTACGGCACTCCGACAGAGGAACCGAAGCGAAGGTGGGAGAGAAGCACACCATACCATGCTCTACGAGTGGAGTGGAAGTGGGGGTGCGGCATGATATGATTTTAGGCCTTACAGTACGAGTACTTGCCGGTGGCAAATGGGACTTTCCGGTTAGCTTCGGAACCCATTCTTTTTTCGGTTGTAATGTACGAGTACCGTATGATATGGCATTATTTTGTAAGTTAAGCAGCAGCCTAGGCTACCGGCAGGAACACGTAATCAAAACACCTCATTACTTGCACTCGAGCATCTACGAGTACTCGTGCTGTACGGTAGTAAAACTGGAAATGATGCTGGAACAGACAGATACCGGTAATGTGTACTCGAGTACCGGTATCATAGCTCGACAGGGTAATGGGTGCAGAGGCTTTGGCTCAGTGGAAACAGCAACCCTGCTGCAGGTTGTTGTCAGGATCTAACTCTAGGGGGCAACTTACCTGTAATCTTGCTAGCCTATTGATCCATACCTTACCATGTTCGGCCACTCTAGCGCCATTTCTAGTTTTAACTGGCTAGTAAGATCCAAGCAGTGCTGTCTGCTACGGGATAGTCTCGGTAACGTGCGTCGCATGGATCTGGGGGGTAAAAGTTGTGCGTGGCGGCCCACTTCTTGACCGCTGGATTTGGTGCGCCCTTCAGATGGAGCACGCCGCTTTTTTGGTATATAACTTCTTATCCTGAAGCCAAACAAGAGGTTATGGAACTGCTATTCAAGGCTAACCGGCCAATCATCCTTGCCTAATCCTGTTGATGATGCCTTCCTGCCCTTGCACATTGCTCTTCTGTCTTTCCTCTCCGTCTGTACGGTAGGTCTGGCTGGGCTTTGAAGCTTGGAATCGGTGATTGCGTGACACTTCACTCAGCTATCGTGCGGTTACCGTTGGACTAACCTTGCAGCACCATATCCTGAGGGGACTCTATGGGACCTTACCGACTCATGTTGGTTTGCCCCGGACAGCTTTGGGACCTCGGACGAATGATCTAATCGTCAGAGCCCCACTGCTGTGTAATCGGACGGTGTGCTGTTATCTAAAATCCTCAACTCTGGATAATGCACAGAAAACATATCGGACGGTGAGCTGCTCAGCCATTTGAGGAACATAAAACACGGGAGGGCAATGGATCTTGTGTCACTAGAGGAGGCAGTTCCGGCGACATGGCATATCGTCCAGCTGCTGGTTTCTCCAGTGCCGAACTGCCATCGGGCCCATTTGGTGTTGTTGAAGCCATCCATAAAGCCAATCCATGCCCGTGTGGTCCAAGTCAGCCTTTGGATTGCCGGTCAGCCTTTGGTATCCCCTTCAGTTTTTTGCTCTTCCTCCTTCCCCCCTGACCCGGGATTTCACCTGGGTGTCCAGATTTAGAAAGAGAGCCCTATACGGTACTCCTAGTTGAGCGATGTCCCGTTTGCGGACATGGCTACTCTTGCATGCCGCCAAAATCTGACTTTTTTTTTGCTTGGATCTTACTGCCGTGCAATAATGTTGGTGTTCGCAAACACCGTTCAATTCCGAGTAACGAGATGACAGGGGATAACACCTGATACCAGACTTCCGGGATCTGCAACCATGCAGATATCATGCTTGTATCATGGGAATTTCTATTCAAGCATCATAGCTATGATACCCATAATGAGTAACTTATTTAATGGATATGGTATTCACCTAAAGGGGACATAAATCTCAACGCAAATCCAGTCGCGGCCAGAAACAATAACCACATTCCTAGGCACCGCACGGTGGTACTAAATGCTATTCGTCGCCTTACCTGGCCTGCGAACCAAGGTCTTTTTGGGATCTAGTTAAACCACATTTTGGGAACTTGTTGGCACTTGAGAGATACGTACCCATCATGTAAGGGAGCTCTTATCCTCATTACGCTCTTTCTCTCCCTTCAAGAATTGATCAAGCTTCTCGCATGCGCTGACATATGCATCATGGCTGTAGATGTATTCCGCGAATTGTCCGGCTAACGTTCGAGTCAGCGGTAGAACCCGAAACCCGAGTAGGAGTACAAAGCTTACGGGTGGGCTTTTCCCTGTTTCCCGCGGGGGAGATACCCAGCATTCGCGTAACGTCTTGCACCCTTGTTGCGCGTTCGTACCTACATTCCTGATACAATTTAAGTCTATCTGCGACATCCTCCTTCTTCGTTCCCAGCGGAAGGACAGCAGCCAGGGCCACACCATCCTCGATTGCCTGTGCGCCTCCTTGTCCATGATCTACCGTGCTATCGTTAAAATATTTCTACTATTTGGGGTAGGGCTAGGGCTTACATGGTAAGAAAGGATGAGCGGCATCGCCCATGAGAGCTACATTTCCCTTCACCCATGTAGGCAGCGCCGGCAGATCTAGAAGCTGCCAGCGCTTAATCTCATTTGCGGGCGCCTTCGAAAGCAATGCGATCATGGGGGGACAGAAGTCTCTGAACATGTCCAACATTTCCGCTTTGTTCGCGTCCTGACCCCAATCTTCCCTGCGGTCAGTGTGAGAGACTTGGGGAAAGATCGAGAGAAACTCTAGGTTGGGGGAAAAAACCTTCCTCCTGGGAGTAGTTTTTGGTATCGAGATGGCAGCACACGAAGTTGAGGAGGAGATTATATCGGCAGGGGTATATAACTATCCTCTTGTCGTCCGCCATCCACACTTGCAACTTTCCTGTCTTTGCTACGAACTGTGCCGTTACTGGATCCGCGAGGATCTCGCTGACAGGGAGTAGGAAACGAAAGGCGGATTGCCCACTAGGAACTGCAGAACTTTTTTCCCCGACGACTGCTGAGCGAAGCACGGACTTTGGGATGGGGTCAGTCTTCCTCAGCGATTTCCGCAGACAAGGAAGCTTACATGGACGCCGTCAGCGCCAATTATGACGTCCCCGCTATGCCTCTCGCCGTTCTGCAAGATAAGTGTATTCTTTTCGAAATCAACATCCATAACCTGGCTGCTGGTAGCAATGGTCACCGGGGCACCTCTCCCTTCCTTTGTTATCGCTATCTCCTTTAGCGCCGAATGAATATCGACTCGGTGCATTAACTGCCATGGCTATCACATTTCTTAGTATAATCCTTAGCGATACTGGGCGGTAGGAGAGAGAACATGAACGTATCTATCTTCTGTCTGAGAAGCATCGGTCTCAAACACTAATGACCCATCCGTCCTATACTCTGAAATCCACTCCACCTTTATGCCACCTTTCATCTCGGGAATGAGGCCGAGCCTCCGGACAAGACCGCTCGCGTTGGGCGCTAAGTGCATCGCCGCCCCGAGTTCATTCAGAAATCGGGATTTTTCAAAAAGCTATATTTGCGTGAGTGTACATTCATTACAGAGGAGGCTGCTACTACCGGTGGTTAGGGGCATTACTGCAACACTATGGCCTGCTTGACGGAGCGCAATGGCGGCCGTCAGCCCACCGATACCGGCGCCGCTGATAAGAATTCGAAGAGGCCTTATCTCCGAACTCGACATGATTCTGGATTCGCAACGTTCTTGTTCCTCGGGTAGGAGTACTTTCGGGAAGTATCAACCAGCGACGCTTTTCCAAAAACGTCCCTTATTAAATTATTTGGGGGAGTAGCTCACGAGCAATCTTTCGATCTTGCCGGGAATCCACACAGAATACTGGCGTCATATATAGGCACCAGTTGGGCCTGGGTTGGAGATGGTATACCGGACCTCGTAATAACAGGAACCAAGCCTACAAGTAGAGATCTCTTCCGGCTTCGCTCTGGGGAAGGCAGTTACTCTCCATAAATTGCTTTTTGGGGAAGAAGTTCCTCCGCCATTACCGGTACTAGTGTTCCCCACCGCGGGAGCGGATAAACTGGTTGTGTGGGGCCGATACTATATATATCACTCGTTATCACTCGCATTGGCTACGGCAAGACGGTAGATGGCTTGTTCGTTGCCCACTTTACTAGAGGGTTCATCGGTGGTTATGAATGGATGAGGGGGATACTACGGGTAGATCGTTTTAGCAAGTGTTGCGTAAAAGGCACCTAGTGATGCCCGGCTCCCAACCAGAAGTTCGGTGGTGCGCTCAACGTCTGTATATATCGTGGGAAATTTCGTGATATCCTAATTATAACAAATGTTTGACCGTCCCCTTGCGAGCACGTTTTTCATGCATTCGCTCCCCCCCCCCCTGCCAAGAACCAAGCTCTATCTCTTTCCCCCTCCGTTCAGGGAACTCTCGGACTTGCCGATACTGCATTTCCGGGATAGCGGACAACTCGGATATGCACACGCACATATCTGCGTCCCTACCCCGAAAAAAATGGTTATTGGATATTATGGTAGTAATATCCCTCACCTGCAGCATCAACTGCAGCGTGATCTCGTCTCGAAGGGCGATATATATAGATGTATTTCATCGATCGGTTAGGCCACCTTGTTCGTGTTCCTTGTCTTCACCTGTAGGGTCTGACGGTGATAAGTTCAACTAACCCGGGATCCTTATTTTCCCCACATGGTGTCTGGGAAACACCGGGACCCCCGTCCATGGCACTCAATCGGTGGATCTTGGCCCGCGCCGACGAGCAGGGGCCATGTCAGTGAGTACCATGGAGAACCAGGCGATCCTTGAGATCGCCTACCGAGTGTTGCTATACAGTTCGTTAGAAGTGGTTGGATTAATGGGTTGGCGACTTACGGATGGTGTAGAAAGTGTTATAGAATGGGAAAAGTTGGATGGAATACGATAGCACCGTATCTGGATTCTATTGCTGCTGTGTACTGTACCACCGGTGAATTTCGGCAAGGCGATCGGAGCAGGAGGTACAGGGTTGGTAGCCGGGGGGGGGGGGGGGTATTGGTTCTTGCGGGGGAACTAAATAACTAATCTACCCGACTGGTGCGGTCGATACGGATATCGGAGGGTCCTCAATAACTTGTTAGGCAGATTTTGGTGAAATCATCGGTGCTTGGTATAATACTTGTAATACTGGTGCAGTGAGCGCGCGGTGAAAGAGAAATTAGGGTTTGGATACTGTTAGAGGTACATAAATTAATCGATGGATGAAGGAAGCGCTAATTGCAAAAACGGAGAAAACAATGGACAGCGTTTGAGTCATCCCTAGATCATGATCAAGCACATACTCTACCGGAACACCGAATGAGAAGCCACGAAGAGTCTACGGTAGTGCAGGTGCAACAACCGAGGAGATAAATGTATACCGGGGTGCGGCACCACTGGCCCAGAGCCCAGGTACGAATACGGTGTTTTGTCTGTGATCTATCGTGGTGCAGGGCATCGGGGGGGGCCTCAGCTACCCTCCCAAGGCATTTGTCCAATGACCGGCCTGGGATGTTTTCTTGGGTACCAACAGCCTGCATACGGTATGATATCCTACTAGAAATAAGCCTATGCCGATAGATGCTCCCCTACGCAAGGGCAATTCTCGTTTCTCTTCCTTCGGCTTGTGTTGCGGCGGGCAAGGCATCTCTTCGATTACTACTGTATGGGGTCATACGCCCCTGCCGTTGAGGCAAACCGCACAAGCACCATAAGAGGGGGTCTTTAAGGATCTAAACACAAGCCTTTCCGCCAATTCTTGTGGCCGAAACTTCCCTAGGAAAGTTGAAGTTTTGCGAATTTCAGTCCATTTTTGTAGGGCATGGGGATCAGGCAGTGGTCGATTGTGCTGTGCCACAGTCGAGCTCAGGGACAGGAAAGCTAATCGGGGATTCAGAAGTGCATTTAGGCGTCAAGCTTTAAGCCCTTGCTAAGGTTGAGCGATTCCAGGAGAGAGAAGAGTAGAGGGAAATACCCATTTTTGCTTATTATTTTCCCCGCCGGGGACCTGGAGCATTCTTGCTGCAGAATCGTATGGGCTCCCGTAGGGTAAATTTATAAATATCAGGTATATAGCCCGGCGAGCACGGTGTCCTCACGCTTCCGTTTTGATTGATGATTGCTCTAATATATGGAGGCATTATTCATCAATTCCCGACATTGGCCTTCCACTGTAGAGATATCGCCAGCCAAAATTCAGAGAATCCTGCTCCAAGTGTCAACGGGAAGTCGCCCATTGAAGGATATCACCATGTTCTTGGGAAAAAGGTGCTAGTGACACTGGGAATTCTGGAAGCTCTTGTGGGAGAAGCCAATTTAACTTTTGAGGGTTTAGGCTAACTTTAAACTGAGTTCTGAATGCGACTGGCAGTGATGTGCACTGGTAAGGATTTTCAAGTTTTGGTCTGGTATCCTTGAAAACTAGATACAACGCGAAGTGTAAGGGTTCTAATTCCTCCACTGTTTTGTTGATGGTAGAGGAGAGCCGACACATATGCGGCACGATTACCATTTAGGGGGGGGGGCGGACTAATGCTCTATTCATACCGGTTCTGATTCCTGCAATAGGATTTGGTATTGGTTCGTTTTAGCCCATGCAGGGAGCTGGAATATGGATGATTGGTGGGTGGGCTTCGGAGGTGGGCCCGCTGCCCTGAATTTATGAAATATATGGATTGGCCTACCGGAATTCTCTAATTATGGACTGCATGATCCAGAATAACTTCCTAGAAGATCTAATCAGATCTGTTGCACCTATTTCTTCCCTGTGTCCCATCTCCTCCCGCACTCTACCCAGTGCCAGCAACAGTCTGGGAGCCCTGGTGGCTACACTGGGAAACTACTAAGAAGACTGGACCGGACGGGGACATGGTTTGCGCCCAGTCTTGTCCTGCGATCTTTGAGGACGTCAGGCTTTGACAAGGTGAGACATCATTTCGCAGCCCCAATACTGGGACCGCAGGTGATGGTAGTGTACATCTTCTCCCAAGGACTGTTGGTGTTGGTCAGGATCTGTGGGTATCTGTATGGGACTTCGGGGATCTTCTGGGGGCCACGGGGCATTGGGGGAGTCCATAAATTTGACCAGTTGGAGGCAGTGACTAGAGGAAGCAGTGGGGGGGGCTACCGATGTGAGTAGTGATGTAGGAATGGCAGTGGAGTGCTTGGAATTCCTTTTCTTTTCGTTTCATAATATTTCTCTATTCTTTTCATCATTTAAGACACGGGATTCTTTCCAGTGTCTTTGTTAGAGTAAAATAAAGAGTTTAATTATGTACCTTCCTTCTCTATATGAATCAATTCAGGTTAGAAATTTGCTTACCAGGATTGATCATGTGGGAAGTTATCGGTGAATAAGCAATACTAAGAGCAGTGAACAAGTCTGACTGGTCCTGCTAGATTGTGACAAATCCTACTAATTTCCCCATGAGCTCCCTGTGGGTTCCCTCGTTCTAAGATACCATATGAACCGGTATTGGAGTCCTGTAGACTTCCCTTTCCTTCAGCTAAAAGTCCCGGCAAAGGCCCCCGCCAAGGATGGACGGACCACGGTTGGTGACCTGTCCTCGTCCTGGTCTTAGGGCGGATGGGGTTCCACATTACGCGTGCTATTATATACTTCTAGCGACGCAGTACACCCGGAAGGACACACGGAATGACTAGAAGGGGGGCTCGAAGGAGCAAAAAGAGAGTGAACAACTCCGGCCCGGGGGGGGGCACAAAAAACATCCTACGAGGCCCCACATTACCTGGGGACGGGCGTTATTAACCGCAGACGGAGGGCTAGCTATAAATGGAGAAAAATTGTTTCCAACCCCCCCTTGAGACGTTCTGCCACACACACCAACCCCCCCCCCAAAAAAAAAAAATTCATGTGTTGTCCGGATCATCTGCACTACCGTATGTAGAAAACCAAACATTATGATCTCTTTCTACTTGCTAAGAGTAGTCTCCACCACCCGCCGAAAAAAGCGACAGCTCTAGAAAGGTGAGGAGAACGCAATCAAGGGAGAAAGAAAGGAAAAGGATTCAGTGCGAAAAACTGCTGAATGAAAAGGACACTGCACTGAGCGAAACACTATACTAGTGGTAAAAAAAAAAACACCTACAGTAGCAAATTACGACTTTGGAGGTTCTCGAATGAGGCCTCGTCAGTGTGCTGTAGTTTTAGAGCAGTACAGTACCCCAGGACGGGTCCCGGGCCTAGATGTGCGGCCCGGCGCTTTGGTTCAGGGATATGTATGCACCCGTAGGTGGCTTAGTCGCCAGAACCCGCACTATTCAAACCCACCCTTACCTGTATCTAGATCGCAGGATTCCAATATTTAATGTGGTCCTCGGCTCAACTAAGAAACCCGCTATATCACCAAGGTTCAGATTCATTATTTACGACCTGTGCATAACGGGATACTGCTCTACGGCTCCTGCAGTCGACACTTGCGTAGGAGGATTTATATGCGGATGTGCGGAATGTCCAACCCCCCCCCCCAAAGTCCGGTGGGTCTTGCCTTGAAGAAGGAGGGCTTACTATGTTCTCCGCCTACTTGAAGGGCCTCAATATCGTTGATAGGGACCTCAGTTCGTTACTGATCTGGGCCATTCTGAATGGGCATGAGGATATTGTCAATCCGCTGTTGGCAGGTTGGAGGCTAATGCCCAGGACTTATCCCCCACGATGGAGAAGTTGGTGTTGCAACTTGCGGTCGAGAAGGGGCTTTCTGAATATTGTGTAGGCGGTGCCAGAGAGGGAAGATGGGGAAATTAATGCTAAGAATGATCACGAGACGCCCACACTGGGTAAAGCGGCTACCGAGAGGTGAAAGGATGCTACCGATGTCTTGCTGATGGATGAGAGGATGGAGAAGGTGGGCCATTGGGGCGGCGATGATGCACCAGTTGTGCGAAGTGAGATTCCATAATATAACATTTGATCAATCGCCATTGCCATTATCATCCGTTCCGTGTTTAACAGGAGCTAAGATTTTAGGAAGGAGACACCAGATATCACTCGTTAAAAATCACAAGATATCACCCTGATGAACCGGGAGGAGGGGGAACAATCCTCATTTCCGGCTTAGAAATAGCCCAACAAGGCCACAAGCCTGCTTCTATATGTCCCACAATTACACAATTCAACACAAACCTGAAGAACGATAACCTCCCAAAACCTCTCCTTCCCTCTCACCGAAGCCACAAAAGTGATCATCTGAATCCCCTCTCCCCGCACTCTCTGCGATAAATTCCCACACAACCGCAGAAACACCCCAACTCGCTTCCCATATCCACCCTCCATCAACGCCATAGAAACATATATCCCGCCAGGCGTTAATGCTCTCAACGTCTCACCCGAGTGTGAACCTGTGACCCCAACACGCCCAGAAATTCCCAACTGGGCGCCTAGATATTATCGGACTGTCTTCTAATCAGGCATAGACTATCTACAGATGGACCAGCCCATTCAGGGAGATTCCTGGACTTTTGAAAACTTCCTTGACGGACTGAGCAGTGTCCCGATCATTATGGCCGGAGGCAGATATGGGATGAGAATCGCACGGGACGATACAGGCTAACATGGGTAGAATACCTGGACCGGTAGACGCCACATTGGGACTGGCTGTGTCACCGAGAAAAACATGGGACCGGCCAGAGTGGAAAGAAGGACTAGTTGTGGGGTGCTGTACTGTATGATTCTGGCCGGCACTTGCCACGCTTCTAGAGTGGTAGGAAAAATCTTACAGTACCATCACTGAGACTGCTTGAAGCCCGTGCTGCTGGCGCTGTCTGTCTGGAGTTGGTTTGCTGAGGCTGCATGACCTTGCGGTATCAGATCCGTCATCACTCGGCTATTGCAGTCACACGTTGCTTCGTTCCCTTCCGTCTAGCTCTCTCATCTTTCCTTTTTTTTCCTCCTCAAGCACACTTATACACCCACAACTCAATACGCGCTCTTCTCATATCACAATAGACCCGCTGCCGTAGCCTTTGAGTGATAGCTCATGGCGGACGCTGGTGGCCTCGCCAGGGCCCTGGGGGTGGGAGAAGAGCGAAGCAACTCACAAGGTAGAAGGCATTCGATGTCGTTAGTTTATTGAGGTGGCTAATATGTTTCGCTTTCTAAGATACCGGTGTAGCTCAAGAGCGCCATTCTACGTACAGCTTCTACAGCGGGTCTTGGGGCACATGGGCTGGCAGTCTTGAAGGCTTCCATTACCTTTGCTTGATACTAACTACCGATTACCCAAGGATGATAGGTAGGTGGATGGGTGAATGGGGTGTAATTTATTAGTTGTTGTGGACGAAGTTTACAGCAAATCTATAATATATTATAAGGTGGCTTTTATCTTACTTTTAATACATTGCCGCTCGACCATTTGTCAATGAGCAACCCTCGGACAATATCTAATCGATCGAGCCTTGTACCTGCACTCTAACTCCGATAGCCACTCCAATTATACTTGATAGCCTCATCGCCCCACGTCACCCACCCCTCCGTTAAATTCCTGCCAAATACCTCACATGCGTTGTATTCCTGGGGTAGGTACTTCTCAATAAGTTCTTCCATAAATTAACAAAAGATCAATAGAAGGCCTGCCTACAGGCCTGAGGGCACGAAATCACCTTTTATGCACGGCTTCCGAGAATGAACATCTGGAACCGCAAGTATAGTCTTTCTCGGAAACGCTTCCACAACTGCGCCTCCAATACCGCCACAACCACCAGGGGCAGCGGCTTCTCCCTTCTCGGCTCTTTGCTCTCTCGCAGCATACAGGCTAAGTCCTTCCCGTACACTCCTCATCCGCCCAAACATCAACACCTCGTACGGCCTCCTCGTCCGACTTTCCAGGTCAAAAATAGGCTCTCCGGAGGAAGTGATCTTAACCCACACCCACTCGCCAACGAACCCGACGCCCCACTGGGGGAACAAGCTCTCGAGAACGAAGGTGCGGAGTTTGGGTTTGTTGGTTATCCATATTCCCACCAGACCTCCTTTAATCCCGGAGGCAGGGTCGGGGTGTGTGAGGGCTTGGGAGAGCGGTATACATAGAAGTTGCTGGATGTCGAATCTGTTCAGGGTGGTGTAAGATTTGCTTCGGGCTGCGGACTTGTTGGGCCATGGGGGGTCGAGAAGCACTAGGTGGAATCCTCGCAAGTGGGCGGAAATGGCAGTGAATGCCGGGATGGATGTTTGGAAGTCTGAGAGGAGGAAAGAGGATCTCGGAGGGATGTAGTAGTGCTTCAGGGGAGCCGGATGGAGGATGGTGAGCGTTCGCCAGGCTCCAGACGCCGAGAACACCGGTATCGAGTATATATCTGAGATGTCGACAACATGTTCAATCGGTGGTTCTTGCTCAGGGACAAGATTTAGAAACTCCGGGGAGAAGGAGTCATCTGGATTCTGAAGTAGTAATACACTCTCGTGGAAGTCTAATTCTCCGCTTATCTGGACCCCGGCTTCTAATGTTATTCTAGGGAGTAGGAATGGTCCACTGTAATTTTTGTAAATATGTTCCAGGGCTTCTAATACCAAGGCTCGGATCTTGTCCGCACGTTCTATTGAGCTCTGGTTTGGAGGATTGCCCTTGGGCTCTGGAAGAGCATACTGAGTCCCCGGAGGTGAGCTGGAACAGAGGCGAGTTCCAGGAGGACTAGAAACGGACGAAGGTATATCTAGGAGGGCAACGTGCCCCGAAGGTGATTCGTAAAGTATTGGGGAACTCATTAGGGATCTTCAAACACTGAGGTTTCATTGGCGCAAAACCCGAGCAGAAGACGGGTACGAGTAGAGGGTATGAAGCATTACTCATGCAGAACGCGGTAATAATTATGCACTAAACCGAGTGTCACTAGAAATAAAGACCAATTTCTACGCTATCAACCGAATATTCAGTACTGGTTCAATCGGCACCCAGCGCCGGGCACGCGCATCTCCCGAAAGCCGCGGCCACGGCAACAACGCCCTCAGCAACATCCAAACCGTTATTAGGATCCGGCGCAACCGAACAACAAACCTTCCTCTCCCTCCATCAACCCCCCCCCCCCCATCATACACGGCGGGCCCCAACCCCACCCCTCGGCTCAATCATGGAGTTTATGTCCAATGTCTCCTCAGGCCTGGACGTGTCGAAACCCTCCCTCTTCGAGCTAATTTCCGAAACCCAGCTCCGCGACCTCCTGGAGCCATCGGTCCGCTACGTGTTGGCCATAATCACACAGCGACACCCACGCTATCTAATCTACATCTTCAACAACTTCGATGAGGCGTACGCTCTGCTCATGCTCTTGATTGAGCGGCACTACATACGACGATGGGGCGGGAGCTTTACGGAGAACTTCTACGGAATTAAGAGGGAGAGGGTACTTGCGAAAGAATTGCCGAGGGCCTCAAAGGCAGCGCCGGATATACTTGCTTCAAGCACAAAGCTAAGGAGGTGGGATGTTTGGAAGAGTTTGTTTATTATTGTATGTTTTTCTCTCCTTCCTGGGACGGGGGGGTTGTTTTTTTGGTGAATTGGGGGGACAATGGTGCTAATTGGTTGATTTGGGGGGTGAATAGGTTGGTGTTCCGTATCTGAAGAGAAAACTGGATGATACGTATGAAATTCACGCAGGAGGTGCTGCTGCGAACCTGTTCGGCGCGGGATATCGTGGAGGGGGTGAGCCGGAAGAGAATGTGTGTTGCTCTGATTATATTTTCCGCTACTCTGTAGTCAATCACTAGCTAATATTTGCAAAGGCTTCGCCCAGGGAAAAGATAATCTTCCGATTGAAACGGTTACTACGAAAGATCTATCCAGCCATCAACGCAGCATACTACTTCTCAACGCTAGCCTTCAACCTAGCCTACCTCTTTGACAAATCCCAATACCACACGCCGTTCCACTGGCTAATCAAGATCCGCATGAGGCGGCTGACAGAAGCCGATCACGTAACTTCCCACTCCCCCCTCTCTCTTCCCCCACAATACTGATCAACTTTCTGAAAAATAAAAACAGCGAGCCTTCGAAACCGCCTCCCGCACCCTCCCACGACCCGGCTCCACACCACTAACTCCCACATCCCTACTCTCCGCAACTGCCCTAACCCGCCTCATCCTCCCGCCGATCCTCGACTCGCTAAAGATCCTCCTCCCAACCTCCATATTCTTCCTCAAGTTCCTGGAGTGGTGGCACGCATCCGACTTTGCCAGACAACTCTCCGCCAAGACCGCCGCTTCGATAGAACTCCCACCACCAGCCATCGTACCCCCGCCTTCCAAGGATGAGGAGGAGGACGAGGGCTACTACCCGCGCAACAGCAGCAGGAGCAGTAGAGAGTTGGAAAGGCAGGGGAGGAAGCTAATCCCCTCCCCAGAGGACAGTGGGGTGTGTCCGATCTGTCTGGAGGAGTTGACGAATCCGACAGCCTTACAAACGGGGTACGTGTTTTGCTACCCGTGCATTTTCCGCTGGGTACGGGATGGGCAGGAGGATCCAGCAAAGGGGTATTGTCCAATCACGGGGGTTAAGTTGCTGGGTGGGACAGAGGGTCTGCGGAGGATAATGGTGTAGAGTTGAAGGGAGGTGTCGTGGGGTTGCATTCAAGCTCAACATATAGTGTAGAAACGGGTCGACTCGGTTCAGTGACATGACCATAATTTTTTAATTTAGTATATCTTTTCTGGGGACAAGGGATACATTTGCCGGGAACTAAAATTTGATGAAATATCTTTGGCTGCAATGGTGCTTTAAGTATATCAAAATATTTAGAATCATAGAATTGAATACTGGCAGATGACTCCATCCCTCGCTCCATACCCTATTTACAATCCGGCATAAACTCCGGGGCACGCCTACCCTCTTCAAAATCGACTCGCGAAAATAGGGATATCGAGCGAGAAAACGTGCATCGTGAACATACCGCTACTGCATACTGATTTCTTCAGCCCAGCCCCCCCCCAAAAAACACCACGAACAAGCTATTCCCCACCGCTTGTCGCAGCGTTGGCATCACAATTGCGTATCCGGCTTCGGCTTTGCATGAATTGACAAGAACAGCACACTACGATCATCAACAAAACCCTCTATCAGCAATCAGAGCCCATTAATACGCACTAGGGCACTAGTTAGTTAGGATAAAACTCACCATGCCGCAACAACCGCCACTGCCACTATCACCATAACCTACCCTCCAGTCAGTCCCAAGCTGACATATAACGGAGAACGTCTGATAATTAGGCATCATTGCTAAGAACGTTTTCGCCAGCCAATACCTTGCGCGTGTCATCACCAAAGTCGTAGCCGGGGGGGGGGGGGGCAAGTGGAAAAGAGGAGCAAATGAAAGCAGAGATCCGTAGCTACAAATATCAACTAGTTACTCTCACTTTCCCGCAGCAGAAGTAATCCATCTTTCCACCAGCTCCTGCTTTTCACTTGTCCCCCCATAACGACTGTACCCGCCGGACACGTAAAATACCGACTAGCGAAGGCGTTCTCAGTATAGATGGGTAAGTAGAACTCACAGACTGCGTCTTCGGCCCTGACTGCACTAATGCAGCTTTCTTTGAGTACATCTCGATTCTGCCTCGGCCCCTCGTATTAGTTACTCAGGAGATGCCGGCACAAGGGGATGCAAACGTCTTGAGATAATTCGCGAACCCAGCAAGCAAACACGCAAGACTTAGGACCCAAAAGCATATCCCGAGCGGAAGGGAGAGTCTCTTTTCCAGCTCGCTGGGCTCATTCTTGAAGTGGAAGGATATCACGATTGCAATGCTGACGACGCAGAGGTACATTGAAAGGCGTAGCCATGATAAGAAGTCTTGTTCGTGTTGTTATTTGGTTAGTTAGGCAGTCGGTAGTCAGTGTTGAAGAGCTGGGGAGGAGGGGGGAGGAGGAAGCACTTCGCTCGTTTGCGCAGTGGTCTCGTGCATCGCTGGCGTTGTTCTCAAAGACCAGCGGGGAAATGAATGGACTGGAGAGGATTAGGGGGGAGTTTGGCTGGAGCCTGGAGGGGATTGTTAGCCTCATGAAGAAAAGTGACACCGTTCTTACCAGAGGGGCGGGGAACGGACTCATCCACAAGAACAGGCTTCGGACGATACCTGCTCATTGTTGTGCGATCCGTTGTTTTGAGTGTGTAAACGTTTGTCACGCTGGGCTACGTTGCGGAACTGTCGGCCGGGAGTGTAACATAACGCCGGCAAAGCCAGTGATGTCGAAAATCGATGGTGTCACGATAGCCGGGAACCTGCTATAGTTGCCGGATTGGAGGTGTGTGTTACATACAACCAAAAGAGGTATAATACTCGAGTACACCTTCAATCCGGCAGCGGCCCGAGCGCCCTCCAGCACTCACGGTCTCGGATCCGCGCAATAACAAGTTCCACGATCCCGCCAGCAAAACCAGATTTCAGACCCCCACATAGGAGACGGTTATAGCAGCGGGGTCTCACATGACTAGTCTGTGGAGAAAACCTACAGAATACCAGCGTGTTACGGACACTCCCTACAAAATACCAGTCAACATTTACCGATGCCAGTCGATTGCACGCTTCATCCAAAAAGTATGTTTTAGGCTTAGTTCCTATCTTTAAGCTCCACTTAGGAATTGCAAATTCACTCTGTATCCTAGTTGCGAGTACCAGTATTCCATAGAGAACATTAATAACCCATGCATATTCTATAGGTTTCCCTTGAGCATTACCATTGATCACTCATATTCAAAACTTGAACAAAGGAAAACGAGATTAAAAATTAACTTCTATACTACAAGTTTTCTGATTATACCTATATACACTACACTTATGGTATGCCTGATTACCCTTTCCTTGTTCTGGTAGAAGAACTGTTCCATTAAGTAATACTTGTATGTATGTAGTTCTTTTTCATTGACCATCCACCTATCATCATAGGATCTGTGGTTGGCCAACTTGTAATCTCTCTTTCACTAGCTGTACAACTTGAATTCAAGCCAAATTCTCTGCACCTTCAAGTCCATCCTCCTCTAATAGTATACTATTTACAAATTAACTAACCACATCAAGTCCAATAAAAGAAAAGTTCAAGTCATATGTTTTTTTCCAAGTATCAACTAAAAAGAAAAGAGATATATAGTTGCAGGAAGTATGATTAGGAATGCACTGAATTACTAAAAAGTATAACTACATGGAATTCTATTTACTTCAAAATAACTACAAGAACAAACTCAGAGTGTCAGGTTAATAATAAAAACATGATGGTTTGTGTTATCTGTAACGGACAGGGTCTGAGGGTCGGGTAGCTCAAGGCACACCACAGCAGGGACAGGCAGGGGTTCGGAGGCGAGGTCTGGGAATAGGTGTACAACCTAACCGAGAGGTGCAAGACATGGGGTTTAGAGATTGTAACGGGGGCTCCCTCAGGTAGATGGCTCCCAAGGATGCGACCGCACCAAACTTCAAATCTCTCAAACACAGCTCTTGCAAAAGTATAAAGAATAAAAGTAAACGGTAAAACTTAATATCGTTAAGCTCAGGCTTATCTCAATTAAAGTCTCTCGAGAGGATGTTGATTCCGTCGGGGTAGGAGAGTTCTC